TTTTTTTTTTTTTTTTTTTTTTTTTTTTTTTTTTTTCAGTTGGAGCTTTAAATTTTCACTTCATATGTGTATAATGTCAGAGTTAAGATGTTTCAAAGTGCATGCAGAACACCAACAAGCATTAGGAGAAAAAAAAAACAAAGAAAGGTGTTCAAGGAGTAAAAGACAGAGGTCTTTTTGTTTATCYGTTGTGGTGTTAGGAAGAATGTAGTGTTTTTGCAGCAAGTATGTTTGTGTTAAATATCTTAAAATTAATCTATAAAGATTCATTATAAGTGACTGTTAGACTGGTTTTAGTTCAGGTACCATAAGCAAAAGTCCATTTCTAGTAAGCTAAACAACTAAGCTGTTGTTAAATGTCATCTGCCGGAATTCCAAAGTAGCAGAATTGGCACCACAGTGCTTGYACAGCCGTGTTTTATGTCCAAGTCAGTGTTTCTCCAGAATTCAATGCTAAAGGAAAGCCATAGTGTTAGGAGTAATAAAACTAAAATTCAACTCTACACACATCTGGGGTGGAGTTTTAAATATTTTTCTAACCTTAATTTTATTTAAGAACAAGTTTCCTAAAGGACTGTTACCATGGTTCCTAAAGGAAATGCCTTCAGGGACAAAGTTAAGGAGTAAGATACCTTCCATTCCCTCCTGTTTATTTTCCTGTGAAAGTCAGTATACTCTTCAAAAATAAGTAATATATGATCAAGTTAGTTCTTCTAGATATTGGTCCCTGTTAAACCCAACAATATTACGTCTGTTCTTACATCAGTTAGGCAAAGGTGAACAGTGGCACCTCCTACCTTGACATTTAAAGGTGTGGTGTGGCTTGTGCAACCAAGTAGACAGGAAGTAGAATCGAAGTGCTGCTTTTTATAACCTTAAAGGTTTTTTCCATCAATTCTGTGATTCTGTTTGATTTCTGTGGTTTATCTTTAATATTGCTTTTGATGAGATGCTGCTGCTCAGACATTTTGAAAGGRCATTATTAAATGTTTGATGGATTTATGAATATAGAAATTTTGGGGCTTGGTTGCTGGATCCAAGCTTCTGWTWAAAAAGTAGACTTTAATGATTTGGRTTACTTGCTTCATACTTTATTCTGTGGTTGAAGGAATATTGTATCCTTTAGATCCATTCMATTTCTTGGGTGGATCAAGTGCATGCTCACTCAGCGCTTATTCAAAGGCACATTTAGGGGGAGTTGACATAGTTCTAGTTGTGGCAGTTTGCTTTTGATGCTTCCCCTATCCAGAAGGGTTGTTAAAAATTCCTCATGGTAGGTGATTACCATATGTGCAATTACCTGATGGTTCCAGGAATTAGCACAATTGCTGTGTGCCTGTGTTCAGAGCCACTGCCTGTGGATGTGCAGAGCATGAATGATGCCTCCCAGGCACAGGGAATGCTGAGTGCAGGTAGCTGCTGTGATGCAGAATTGAARGCAGCTGACTGGAGAGCTCTTGGTTTGCATTTAGAAGGGTTTGAAATACCTCGGGACTATAGCAAAGTGCAATTTTGTGTTTGATGGTTTCAAGGTGTTGTTATTATTTATACTGAGATACAAAATAATATGCTGGATCATTGTGGGATTCTGATTTAATGGACTTCTCTTGGGCATTCTTTAGCAGTGTAAGGAAGCACAGGTTTCTTAGAGCACAAACAACATTGGGAGCCACTGACTTTGATCTCATTACTCTAATCCACTGTCACCTTACTGCAAAATAAAAGAATTTAATGGATAGGTCAGATGCAATAATCTGGTCTTTGTTCTTAAAATGTTAAAAGACTTTTCTTTCTGGACTTTAAAAATACTAAATATATATTRTTTTCTACACTCTGGGTTTCCCTTGAGTAGTCTTTACTGTGCAGCTGCCGTGGACATGTAAAGCTGTTGGACAGGTTATTTAAGAGGAACTGTAGTTCCTCAAACCATATTCCTTCAAACCTCTTTCTTTGATTGATCTATGGGAATAATAAATCTTGGTTTTAATTTCCTTTCATTTCACATTTTAGTGCTACTGTTGGTTGAAGCTTTAACCTTTTGCTGGGAGGCCCAGAGGCAGACCTCTGTGGTAAGTTACTGTAACTCATTTTTAAGAACTGATATTTGTAACAATGAAGTGTCACAACGTCCCTTGAAACCAACTGTAGAAATTATTAGTGTAAAACATGTTCACCTCCATTTTGTTTCTGCAATRAAGTACAGCAAATTTTAGTGAGATACAGGTTTTTTTTTTCTTGTGGATAATGTTAATTTTGTAGTCTGTCAGCGACTCGGCACAGAGTAATTGCAATAAAGAATACCAAGTTTATGATACTGTTCACTTGCACAGTTGATAGATTGTATACTGTGAAATAATTGGTATAAGGATACTCTGATAAAGTATATAAACATACATGCAAGAAGCACGTTCCTCTGGTTTGCTGTTGTGTGCTTAAAATGACCGAATTTTGAAGTCAGGAGATCTGTATTTCTGAATTTTCTTGTTCAAGGAGCAATATTATCTTTTATTTAGCTCACTTGAATCAAAACATCACCTAAAATACTTTTGTGTGAAGAAGATGCTGGGAAGAACCACAGGAATTTAAAAAAAAAAAAGAATCAGTGGAAGGATATTTAGAAATTACTGTTTCTGAGTAATTTTGTAAACAAGTGTCCTAGAAGTCAAATTAATATTTTCTATGCAGGGAAGGTTTTTTTGAAATAGAATTCTAAACATGTTCTTTGGCAATGTAACTTAGTGATAAATTTTTATATACATGTACAACTGGCAAATAGTTGCCTGACTTGTTATACCAGTGTGCTACCAGTCCAATAGAGTACCATAAAGCTTGTATAAATAGATGATTCATTTCCCATACAGAAAACTGTGCTTCTGTTCTCATGCACTCATATACCGCAGATTTCTTACATATTAGCTTTTATTTTTGAATGGCATCATCCCCAGTAAAATGAGTAATATGGTCATTAGGGTTTTATCAGCATAATCTTCCTTGCTTTAATTCCTTCCTGCATACTAAACAGTGAATATGAAAATCATGGAATCATTTAGGTTGGAAAAGTCCTCCAAGATCATCAAGCCCAACCTTTGACCTGTCACCATCTTGTGGATTAGACCATAGCACTAGATGCCACACCCAGTGGTTTCTTGAACACCTCTGGGGATGGTGCCTCCACCACCTCACTGGGCACTCCATTCCAATGCTTATCAACACTTTCCATGAAGAAATTCTCCCTGATGTCCA